TACTGAAATGTTTTGTTCATTTGCAAGGAGATTGTCCAGCATTCACTGCGATATAGGAGGATTGGTATTACATGAGACATTAAAGAAGGATGCTGAGAATGCCATGTACTGAAAATGAAGTTTTAAAGAAAATGGAAACAAAAAGGACATTCTGATTAACATCAGGAAGAGATAGTTGAAATTTCCTGAGCACATATAATGAGGAAAGGGGGTTTATCCCTTTTTCCTTTTATGTCCTGTGAGTATAAAATTTGCCAGAGGAAAATGGCACATAACCTCCCTAGCGAGCTTGTGTAAATTGATGGGACAACAGTGTTTAGGAAAGATTAAAAAAAAATACAAAATTTATTAAGAGCTACAAAGGACAGGAAATTGTGGAGAGCTATGATCACCGACATCTCAAAGGGACAATGCACATAGAAATAGAAAGAAAATAGGAAGTAAAGGAAACTGATATTTACAATCAGAAAGCTGGTGAAAATTTTTGTAATACTTAATGAGGAATGAAGGCCTGGAGAAAGTAACACTAACATGAAATAAGTCATTTTCTTCTTCAGTATGTCCTGAGTTTGTTTCTGTTAAAGCATTAAACACAGTGTAAATGTATATCATTCCACTATGTAAAGTAACAAAAAAGAGAAAATTGTGGAGAGCCATGATCACCTACATCCTAAATGGATTTGGCAACTATGAGGATTCAGTTGAAGTATCTTGTTATTAAAATATATGACAACTCCTCCAGACTTAACAATTTAAAATTATTTAGGTGTTTTAAGAATGTTAAAAGTTCTTAACATAGCTTTTGAAAAAACATCTTTAGCTTTTCAAATGCCTGTTTCCTTAGAACAGATAATGCAGCTTCAAAATCCAAAGTATAAAGAAACTGGAAAATTTTGTTTGATACTACATAGAAATAAAGTGTTGAACTGCTATCTTCCTATATGACAGTGAATGCTGCACAGTTTCCTTGCACATGAAGAGAAGACTTGAGTTAACAGAAATGTGGTTCTACAGAAGGATGCTGAGAATATGGAGTGCGTAAGCAATCAAGTAGCCTTAAGGAAAACAAAAAAGACACTTATGCACAGAAAATATCTAAGAAATAAGCCAGAAACAGATTGGAATTTCTAAGTGTATCACATTCTCCAAGCCCTCCTTCCTCAGTTTGTCCCAATCCAGACTCATCTCTTTTCAAATGTTATTATGTATCCAAGGCAAAAGAGCTACATTGGAAGACTTTTGATAAAAACCCCAAAATAACTGCTATCAATATCATAGTAATATTTACCATTTGCTTATAAGGAAACATTCAGCATTCTTTCACCAAGCAACCAATGCTACTTTCTGTTGTGAAACCGATTTTCTGGAAAAATCTTTCAAGTCCAGGAATAGTTGTTGTTCTTTTCTCAGGCAGTGCTATGAAAATGAATCTACTTGGATCTTCCAATATTGTATACTTGTTACTTAACTTCAGACAAATGTTTAGGAAGAATGTTACAATTTGAATAGTGGTCTCATACACCTTTTTATGGTGAAGAAACATCAGGAACAGCTGATGAGAAACCTTGCAAGACATTTGTTGGTTTGGTATGTTTTACAGCATATCAACTTCAATGGCTTATTTAATGCTGGTAATTTTTTTTTTTTTTTTTTTCAGAAATGTATTGCTGGTAATAATTTTTTTCTTTGAAAATTCATTGCCGGTATTTTTACAAAAATGTATTGCTAGTATTAAAACCTATTGTTACACATTCATAATGCTATGACCCCAGTTTGGGGGTTAACTATTTGCCCATAGCTGGGACCCTGGCAGGTGCTACCACCCTCGATCATGGCGGACCTGAAAACACCAGCAATTAAGAGCTGGTTTCATACTCATTAAAACCTCCTGATCAGAGGTCTTGCTGTCAGATGTAGTTTGTCTTGCCCAGTACAGAAGCAGTTAAGCAGATATTTTGTACGAGGATTACTTTGTCTGAAAAAACCGAGGAGATATTTCCATGTCCTGGCTATCAACATCCATATTCACCATCTTTATATCTAATAATATGAGAAATAACACATTGTCAGCTTCTCTATATTATTAATATTATTAGTGAATTTGTTCTTTCAGGCTTTAGATAAGAATGGCAAGGCTGGGGCTGTGGCTTTAGCCCTTCAGCTTGTGGAGAACATCAGCATGTCAACATCTTCAAGATATCTATGCTATCTCTGGCTCACTATGTGGTTTCATTACAAGATTTAAGAACAATTGGATTAAGGTCATTCAACATAACCTTAATCCATGTTTCTTGATCTTTTTTCATTAATGCGGGTGTCTTCAAGGGCACTATCCTTTACATCAATGACCTTTTTGATTTCATCAGTTCAAAACTCGGTATTTATGCTTATGATACTACTATGACAGGAATAATTAGTTGTAAGTTTGTCAGAGCTATCAAACTTACAACTATTAACTGCTTTCCAAAATGACCATCAGTCAGTTGTTAACTAGAGCAAGGAATGGCTTGTTAATTTTAACACCTCCAGAAAGTAACTGCTATCCTTTAATCAACATAGGGAACCTTTTTCTTGTTAGCATTAGCCATGCTGGTGTAAGACATTTCAGGAGAGCAACTTATTGAGCTTTGTTGGTCTCACATTTTCCACGGGCATCAAGTGAAATAATTATATTAAATCAATTGCTTGATCTACTGATCAGGAAAGTTAGTTCACTGCGCCATGCCAGAAAATTTTTCTCATCAGAATCCATCTTGCACATTTATAAATCTACCATTCGTTCGTGCATTGGATATTGCTTCTATATCTGGTGCACCTGCTGTATATCTGGAGATTCTTGACAAAATCCAAAGCAAAGCAAAGTCTGTAATGAGTCTTGACCTGGCATTTTATATCATAGTGCTGAGAATGTGATTGGACTTCCCTCTGCCGTTTCTATAAATATTCTCATGAGCTCTCGTCTTTGCTTAAACTCATACAGTCAAGGTAGCATACTACTTGATTGGCAAGTAGGTCTTACCATTTTATTGTTGAATTAAAATGGAACTTATGGTTACATCTAGCTAATTATTTCTTTTCTCACACTTTTCACCTGTGGAATTCCCTTGTTTCTCTGCTACCAACAATCTTCAAAAATTTATATGCAACATTAATTGCAATCTTCTGCCTTCCAAAATTGTTTTTTTTTTTTTTTTTTGTTTATTTTGTTTTTTCTCCTCATTAATTTTTTTCATTCTCTTTCACTCCCAGTAACTCCTTGCATCTGAGTGGCATTATTATCTTGCTTTGGATGACAATAAAATAATAATGATGATGATATAATAATATAATCTTTATATTGTTGATATTATCATCATTATGTTTATAAAGATTATATTATTATATCATCATTATTATTATTATTGATATTATCATCATCATTATCATCATTATTATTATCATTATTATTATCATCATCATCATTATCATCATCATTATCATCATCATTATTATCATTATTATCATCATCATCATTATCATTGATATATCATCATCATCATTATTATCATTGATATTATTATCATCATTGATATTATCATTATTATTATTGATATTATCATTATTATCTTGATATTATCATCATTATTATTATCTTGATATTAATATCATCATCATTATTATCTTGATATTAATATCATTATTATCTTGGTATTAATATCATCATCATCATTATCTTGATATTAATATCATCATCATTATTATCTTGATATTAATATCATTATAATAATATCATTAAATAAAACTATTATTTCCGTATTATTAGAGATAAAAATAATGATATTATCTTTATTTAAGCATAAGATAATAATGATGATAATATAGAGATAATGATGATGTTAATAACAAAAATGATAATATAATAATAATAACAAAAATAATGATATAAGTAACATTAATAATATAAAGATGATAATAATAATATCATTATTATCATATTATTATTGTCTTTAATTATTATATATCTTTATATTACTGATATTATTTAATCTCTACATCAAAAGATTGTCAATGCCATCTTTATATTAAGTTCATGAGTGAAGGTCTATAAAAAACCCAAAAAACCGTCTATGCCCTGATTGGACACAGAAAGGCTTTGGTTTTTATAAAAAAAAAAAAAAAAAAAAGTAACCCTTACAAGTCGATCACTGAGAAATAAATAATACATTTTGCAATCATGTATTCTCAAGAAACCGTGTTATACAATTACTTCAAACTGTAACAAAGTAAAATTATACTTTTTTTTTTTTTTTTTTTTTACATAGATGCTTGCTTCAATATTTTTGTTTTTTCTTTTCATTATAGTCACATCTAAAATACTCGAAAGATGAAAAGGCAATTAAGACACTTATAATACGAACATAATATACATTTTTTTTTCCGCTGTTGTTTTTCTTTTTTTTTTTTAAATTATTTCATATTAATATGTTCACTTTGCTTTCTGTATTTCTCCTTTTTCTCTACTTTCTTCTTTCATTCACTGTGAAGCTGCTGACTCAAAAAGAGAAATCAGTGAGTTCGAAGGCAAGTCGAGTTTACATTCATTTTTGCTCAAATACCCTATCCTTCCCCTAGCTATGGATTAAATAACCAAGATAAGTTATCTCTTGCTTTGAGGAAGTAACCAATCTAAATGGAAAACTGAATTTAAACCCATCTTGAAAAGGGATAGGCTTCATCTGACTAATCTGGTCCTAGAATATAATTTTGATAAGGCTGCAAATACATGCAGTGCTACTATAGTCTTAATGACGTGATGTTTTATTTCATGAAAGAAAAGAAAATGATATAAAAAGAAAAACAGAATGACATTTTCTTTCCTTCTGGGCAAATCACGTTGAAACACCAGTTCTCATATAACCACCAAAGTTAAGCAACGTTTAGCCTGGTCAGCACCTAGATGAGTGACTGCTTGGAAATATCAGATATTATAAGCTTGGATGTGCGAGTTGTATAAAGGCATTACAGCCATATCGTGTTGAAACACTGGTTCTTGTATGATCACCAAAGTTAAGCAACATTGAGCCTAGTCAATAGGTAGATGGGTGACTGCTTGGGAAAACCAGATGCTGTAAGCTTGGATGTGAGGGTGGTGTAATGGATAATGGCTCGGAATTGAAAATCGGAAAGCAGAGTTTCAATTCCAGTCAGGTTTGTTATATTCACTTACAGGCAAATGCTCTTGAAAAAGGTATGAATCTACCTCTTTTTCCCCTCCCAGCTATGGGTTAATAAGTAGGACTTGTATTGGAAAAATCCTTTTTTCCCAAATATTTAAAGCCAGAAAATATTTTCAGATTGTAAGTATAACCTGCAAAAGACTGATAAGCCATAAAAAATAAAATCAAAAGGAAAAAAAAAAGATTCATTGATTTATCTGATGCCCCCTTTTTTACAAGTTCCTCGATGTATTGTGTATTCTGGATTGAAAAAAGAATCTCTGGGGTCTCTGCATTTCATATATTTAGGCGCATTTAGCAATTTTCCTGCACACAAAGGTAATTAAGTTGTTGTGATTTCTAAATAAATAAACTCATTATCAATTTTTAAACTATCAATCGCTAGACATCAGTAAGCAGCAAAGATCAGAAATAAAAAATAAAAAAATAAGCTTCCAGTGAGGTTTGAACTCAAATCCTCTTGTCTCTAATGCATTTGTTATTCAAGTGGTAGAGTAGTCATGGGGGGAAAAAAATGGGTATCCACAGTCAACAGATCAAATCAATCTATATTTTTTTCACATTTAAAAGGAAAATACTAATGGTGTATATAAAAATTTCAAAAGTTGTATCCCTTCAAGACAAAGGTGATCATGCCTCTCCACATCTTCCTATTCTTTGTACCTTGAAGCACTTCTCAGTCCCTATTCTGCCATCCATTTACACAAGCACTTTTGTTTCCTTCTACTTCTCTTACCTTCAATAGGCCATGTGGGTGTTAAATTTTACAAGTGCTACTTCCTCATTATATGTCCAAGAAATTTTATTTATCTTTTTCTGAGTCTAGGTAGAAGTGACTTTTTATTCCTTTAAACTTCCTCATAGCTTGCATGCTCTATCCAAGGCATTCTCAGCATCCTTCTGTAGAACAATATTTGTTTCCTCTTCATTTGTAAGGAAATTGTCCAGCAATGGATATTACATAATTGTTCAGTGTTTTCTTTTCTTTTCTCCCTCATGAAATGTTTTGCTTACTATATACTTTTTCAGTTTTAGAATGTCATTTTTTGATACTGCAGATTTCTGCATCATATTTTTGTCATAATTTTACATAATTGTTTGATTTGCATGTTTCCAGTTTATAGCAGACAGTTTGAGATGCCATTCTTCTTATAATAAATACAACAACTGTAAGGATAGCAGACCAAAAGAAACAATGTATAATAGTAAGAACACTTCATCTCCAAACATTGTTGTCTTTATCATAATGTTTGGTGATGAAGTGTTCTTACTATTATCATTGATGATTTTTGGACCAGTTTCCTTATTGTTGTCTTTATCATAATGTTTGGAGATGAAGTGTTCTTACTATTATACATTGATTCTTTTGGACCAGTTTCCTTATCTTTGTTGTCTTTATCATAATGTTTGGTGATGAAGTGTTCTTACTATTATACATTGATTCTTTTGGACCAGTTTCCTTATCATTGTTGTCTTTTATTCAATTTTGGACCATTTTTGATTATCTTTGTTGTCTTTATCATAATGTTTGGTGATGAAGTGTTCTTACTATTATACATTGATTCTTTTGGACCAGTTTCCTTATCTTTGTTGGCTTTATCATAATGTTTGGAGATGAAGTGTTCTTACTATTATACATTGATTCTTTTGGACCAGTTTCCTTATCTTTTTTGTCTTTATCATAATGTTTGGAGATGAAGTGTTCTTACTATTATACATTGATTCTTTTGGACCAGTTTCCTTATCTTTGTTGTCTTTATCATAATGTTTGGAGATGAAGTGTTCTTACTATTATACATTGATTCTTTTGGACCAGTTTCCTTATCTTTGTTGTCTTTATCATAATGTTTGGTGATGAAGTGTTCTTACTATTATACATTGATTCTTTTGGACCAGTTTCCTTATCTTTGTTGTCTTTATCACAATGTTTGGAGATGAAGTGTTCTTACTATTATACATTGATTCTTTTGGACCAGTTTCCTTATCTTTGTTGTCTTTATCATAATGTTTGGAGATGAAGTGTTCTTACTATTATACATTGATTCTTTTGGACCTTATCATTGTTTCTTTATTAATGTTTGGAGATTTGTTCTTACTATTATACATTGATTCTTTGGACCAGTTTCCTTATCTTTTTGTTGTTTGTTTGGTGAAGTGTTCTTACTATTATACATTGATTCTTTTGGACCAGTTTCCTTATCTTTGTTGTCTTTATCACAATGTTTGGAGATGAAGTGTTCTTACTATTATACATTGATTCTTTTGGACCAGTTTCCTTATCTTTGTTGTCTTTATCATAATGTTTGGAGATGAAGTGTTCTTACTATTATACATTGATTCTTTTGGACCAGTTTCCTTATCTTTGTTGTCTTTATCATAATGTTTGGAGATGAAGTGTTCTTACTATTATACATTGATTCTTTTGGACCAGTTTCCTTATCTTTGTTGTCTTTATCATAATGTTTGGAGATGAAGTGTTCTTACTATTATACATTGATTCTTTTGGACCAGTTTCCTTATCTTTGTTGTCTTTATCACAATGTTTGGTGATGAAGTGTTCTTACTATTATACATTGATTCTTTTGGACCAGTTTCCTTATCTTTGTTGTCTTTATCATAATGTTTGGAGATGAAGTGTTCTTACTATTATACATTGATTCTTTTGGACCAGTTTCCTTATCTTTGTTGTCTTTATCATAATGTTTGGAGATGAAGTGTTCTTACTATTATACATTGATTCTTTTGGAGTTTCCTTATCTTTTGTTGTCTTTATCATAATGTTTGAGATTGTTCTTACTATTATACATTGATTTATTTTGACCAGTTTCCTTATCTTGGTTGTCTTTATCACAATGTTTGGTGATGAAGTGTTCTTACTATTATACATTGATTCTTTTGACCAGTTTCTTATTTTGTTGTCTTTACCACAATGTTTGGTGATGAAGTGTTCTTACTATTATCATTGATTCTTTTGTTTCTTATCTTTGTTGTCTTTATCACAATGTTTGGAGATGAAGTGTTCTTACTATTATACATTGATTCTTTTAGACCAGTTTCCTTATCTTGTCGTTATCACAATCCTTCATTTTTATTATTCAAATAAAATCTTTCTATAATGAAGTCAAAAGTATAAACACAAATTATCTAAAAAGAAATCAATCTGACTGACTGGCAAAAATGTTTCAAATTCATTTTGCAGCTGCAGAGAGAAATGAGCATAAGTTTTATATAATGACAGGGGTGGGGAGGTGTAGTCAGTGTGGAAAGGGACACAGTTGCAAGTAGCCAAGTCAATAACCCTAAATGAAGATATTTGCTTTGTTAATTAATCTGAACATTTATAATGAATACTTTACCAACCCAACTTGATAAGAATTAAAAGAAAAATATAACAATCCCAAATTGTTAATTAACTTTCCATTTATTTATTTTCAAGAGGTTTTCATAATTCCAATTCTAATTAGGCAAATTTCTCTTACACTGAATGAATAGAAATCTGTGTAAATCCTGATAGATATGAACAGACAGATAGGTATCTAATGAACAGAATTAACAGACAGAATCATACAAACTATTTTCTAACTGAGAAAGTTGGGAATATGGCAGGGATTGATAAGTTCTAAGCCTAACCCACTTCCCCAAACTCAATATTTTAATAACTATTCCTTTAGAAACCTATTTTAATGTCTAAATAGATACAGACTGTAATAGACAAATAGTCTATCAGAGAGTATTGAAAAATTCAGTTCAACTTACTTAAACATATACATTCAGATAAATTTACATCCATTTACACTTTTATTTCTCTCTTTCCTATATATGTATTTATTTAATTATATGTATCGGGTCATCCCATAAGTTCTGTCCGAAATTTAACTTTTTGTTAAAATGAAAGACATTATAAAATACTCTTAAAATTTCGAATAGAGCTGAACATTGAAATAAAATTTAATTTTATTGTTCTCTATTTTTATGTTTAGATGCATTTAAACTGATTAAATTTTGTTTGATTAAAACCCTGCTAATATGGAAGTACCCAAGAATCATTTGAGGCACATAATGCTTTATGAGTTCAAGAAAGGAAACTTAACAGCCGAAGCGGCTAGAAACATTCACTCAGTTTATGGAGAGGAATGTGTGAATGAAAGAACTTGCAGAAGATGGTTTGCAAAATTCAGAGGTGGCGATTTCACCCTTGAAGATGAAGATCAAACTGGACATCCAGTTGAGTTTGATGAAAAGCTTCTTGAAGCAGCCCTTGAAGAAAATCCTGCTTTATCAGTTGAGGAATTGACAGTGGTTCTCAGTTCAAACCATACAACTGTTCATTGTCATCTTCAACAACTTGGAAAATGGGTGCCTCATGAATTGTCTGAAAACAACCTCAAATCCTGAGTTGACGTCTGCTCTTCTCTCCATTCTTGTCAACTTGTTTCACCTTTTTTGGATAGACTTGTGACGAAAAATGGATCTTTTATCAAAATGTTAAGTGTTGTAGACAGTGGCTTGGTAAAGGGGAAGGACCCCAGCCACAGCCGAGAAGGGAACTTCATGGGCAAAAGGTTCTTCTTTCAATCTGGTGGGATCACCAAGAAATAATCCACTTTGAATTCTTACCACCTAATGCAACAATTAATGCTCAAATATACTGTCAGCAATTAGAGCGTTTGAACAAAGCTTTGAGGAAAAAGCGACTTACTCTAGTGAATTGAAAAGAGGTGATGTTTCATCAGGACAATGCACGACCCCACGCAGCAAGAATTATGTCAAAAAAGATCGAAGAACTTGGTTGGGAGAAAATTCCTCATCCACCTTATTCTCCTGGTCTTGCTCCTTCAGACTACCATTTGTTTTGTAGCTTACAGAATCATTTGGAAGAAAAAGCTTTTGTAACAC